AGATATCTTAAGATATGCATCCTTCTGATATCCAGTCTATCCTGCTTATTGAAATAAACAGACGAAAGTACCTTCCCCTTATCTTCAACCAGGAACTCTGTTGTTTCGAACTTTAAAACTAAGTCCATATACAAAGAAGAGAAAACTACTCCCTCTACTACTCTATGCTTAAATACCAAGCTTGGTTCACAATTAAGTCAGGATTTGAACTAGTGACATAATACTGCCAGAAGACTGAACCAACAAAGGTACAGTATAGATTTGTATGTCTTTCTTGATTTCTGTACAAAGCAATAAAGCTTTTCTTTCATTTATTGCTACAAAACGGAAATGCACAATCATTTTAGACTAATGCAAAGCATTTTCGAGGCATAAGGATAATGCTTTTTCTAGCCAGAAAAGATACAAGTATCCAATCTTTTCACAAGCATAGGTGAAAAGAAAAGGAGTAACTACTTTTTCTATAGTAAATTCATTTGCTAGCAAAATCATCTCAGTAGGGATAGTGACCACATGTGGATAAAGTTCAAAACTCAAACTTAAACTATGCAGGACTACATGCCATGTCAAACATGTCTGCGACTAAATGTGGAAATATCATAACATATACAACACTAACCTCTGCTCTTTCACGAGGATCAGTCAGCTTTGGTATGTACTTTAGTGCTTCACCTTTCTCATTTGCATCAACACATGCTTCGACAAATGGGCGGTAACCTAGAAGAAGAAAACAGGAGAAAAAGGGATGACTCTAAGATAATCCATTAGCCTTCATTAGCATATAGTATATGGTCAAAAAGGGACTTGCTTGGAATGTCTATGAACAAGTCCAAGGTGCTCCTTTAAGTGGCAGTCACAAGAAGCAGAAATACATTTCACATTGTACTTGTTCACAAAAAAGAGAGGATAAAGCTAGATCACCATGGCTACAGCAAAATCTAGTTTTGACCAAAAAACATAATAAAGCATATCACGCCATTCAAGAGGAAGTGTAGCTCAAACTAACTAAAATGTCACTCTAAGTGAAGGCTACTTCAGAAATTTAACCTTTTCAACCTCAAGATCTGATCAAATTCAGCAGGGGTTAAAAGAAGCAAAAAAAAATTTAGATATTCAAACGGGCAGCATTACATACAGCAGTTAATAGAAAACCTCTATTACATACCCCTAATATATATCACATACAACATTTTCTAATTAAAGTTCTAACTGTTCAATCTAATTTCCTGCTACTTGGAATGCAAAACCAAAGTAAACCTACTTGAATTAAACTCAACATTAATATCCTAAAAACAATCCATCATAACAATCAAAAGAAAGTCAATGAATATCCAGATTATATTACGAACATCACAGGGCAAATGCATCTATAGATATTCTGTTGAAATAAGAGGGGAAGTCAATGATTTCCTCCTGTTAAGCTACTGAGGGGACTTACCAATTGGTGGCCTTTTTTCCTTTGAAAACTTTTCCAAGGCATCCCAATCCCTAATTGTTGCCAGAGCAAAAACTTTAAGCCAATACCATCGCTTTTCAGATACCTGAATCATCCAAGATAATTAAAATTGGCACTATAAATTGGATAAATCAAGTTGAACCCTCATATACCTAAAAGAGGATGCAGAAATCGCTAATAAGACGGAGAAATAGAAGTACGTCATCACTGTGAGCCAAAAGAGACAGACCTTAAATTCTGTTTTGACTCTATTGGCACCACGATGGTTACCCAGCACAATGCATGTACGAATTGTATCACTTATACTTGAATCCATAAAGATGGCCTGTTTTGTATTCACCTCAATCTCATGTTGTATCCTATATCAATATATGAATGATACGACATTTAAATAGAAGTAAAGCAGAAGAATGGTAACTAAAAATGTAAAAAGAGAAAGAGACACGAGAGAGAGAGAGATGCATTCTCAATTAACATTTTTGTGCTAGTAATCTGTTAGATTTCTATGCACTTCCAAAAGATAATTACAACAAGAAAATTAATAAATGTCAGGAACTATGAAAAAAAGGGAAAAAGAAGTCAAATAAACTAAAAAGGTTGCTGAAGGATGAGACTATTCTGGAAGTTTGTCACTATAATTGTCAAAGAACATTGTTGCAATAAAATTATCATGGCGCATAAATTATCATCTGTTTCTTGCTGAGTAGTACTTGATGAAACTCAGAACTTAATTGACATGGTTATTCTATAACAGTTGGGGTACTATCCTTGCCTGCTAAAACTTGGGAAGAAAATGAAAGGCTTTACTGGGGACTCTCCCTTAGTGAGACTTGGGAGATTTAAATCATCTCCTGATCCATTGTGAAGTTTCCTCTAAACTCTAAACTCTGGTATTTATGTAAAATTCCAGAAAACCCATTCTAGCACCTTGACATAAAATAGACTTAAGTTCTACAAATATATGCAGAAAAACTTATCCCTCACAAAGAAATTAAGGGAAGTCGAAATAAAAATTGGGAAGTCATAATACACCTCATATGATCTAAGAGAAGTAGGGATAAATTGAACCACAGAGATGAGACACACATATAGTGGATAATGTTAAAGTTAAGATTGTTTGACTTGTAGCAGCAACTATTCTGAAACTCTCATCTAATTTAGCTTCATATTTTTTTACTGCAGCTAGCACACTGGACTTATATGATAGGAAGGCTTTTCTTACCGGTTAGAAATGTTATCAGGTGCCTAAAACTAAGCCTAATGCACACTCAGCATCACTCAGAAGAAGCAATTGAATAGACCATCAACTCAAGACAACAAGCAGGAACAAAAAAAAAGAGAAGCAAGAGCAAGCAAAAGAAATAATGAAACAGCTCCACTGAATCATCAACTCAATGACTTTATAACTAATACTGAAGGAAATGGCACCTTAACAATTTTGCATGCTCTTCAGCAGCTTTTGATTCAAAAAAATTTTCCTTTGTTTCTACAAATAGATGCTGGACCTTCTCAATGAGTTTTACTCTTGGACCATGAAGTGGAGATCCTTTGCTAGCCATGGGATTCTTAGACAATTCCCATGACTCTTTCCATAACAGAAAAGCTACATCCTACAACATTGAAACTTTGTCAGATAGCGAAAGTTGAATGAAGGAAAAGTAGAGAGAATCGCCATGAACTGTATAAATACTAGCTTTTTTTAGCAGCAAAATTTACATGTCTTGACAATTTAAGCTTAAAAAAGATACAGCAGACAGGATTATAGAGGAATTACACGGGATTCCAGAAGTAGGCAAATTGAAAAATTGTTAAAAGAGTTCCTACATAAAAATTATTGGTAAATAACTCCTACAATATTCTTTTACCAAATTCCATCTACTAAGAAATATAAATGTAAGGATATGAGCAACAATATCCAAATTAAAAATTGATAATAGTTCCTAGAACATATTATTTTTTATGGAGAACCTGGAAACTAATTCCTTCGTATACAAAGAACCTCCACTAGAACAACAAAACGGTCACAGAAACAGATATCCAATATCACTAGGATGAGATTCAATATTGCATACAGTTCTAAATTTCTAAAAATCAGGAGCAAGATAGTCAGAAGAAAGGTGGAAAAATAAGTTGTAGTTCCACACAAACCAACCTGAAGTTGCCCCGTAGATAGAAAAAAGTCCTTCAAAAATTCATGCTTGTAATGCCTTGAGTTTGGGAAGAAGGAAAAGTGTTCAGAAGGTTAAACAAACTGCTCTTGAAGTTATGAACAATTTAAAAGTTCTCAATACCGTGCATAATTAACAAACAAATCACGAGCTAGAGGTCTGGCCTGTATTGTCCCAAAGAAATCCAAAGCTGGTCTCTGGGGGAAAAAAGCATGTGGTTATTAATAACTGAACCAACTAGTAGTTTAGAAAGGAAAAAAAGGACTTGGGTTACAAGAAAATCTACTCCAGACCGGTGTTTATATGTACCTTTTGCCAGATGTGGAACAGGACAAGATAAACTAAATCAGTATCACCACTTTCAGTTGACTTCATTAGAGCAGTATCCTCTTCTCCAATGCTTAGCAAGAGAGGAACCTAGAGGAATAACATAGTTAGTGCACCACAAGCTAATGAAAGCTAACCATGTCGTACATTTTGGTCACAGAAATCCAATCAACAGATTAAAGCCAGCGAAGAACAAAGAAGTTCCCTTAGATGAGAACATCTATCATTAAGAGATAAGAAGTTCTAGGCTCCATCAGGAAACATGAAAGAGTTCCAAAAAAAGGATATTAATAGAAAGACAAAAGGCATTTAAAAGAATTAACAAAACCTGCTTAGATGAACGTGGTTCATGTTCAACAAGCATGGCAGCCAACTTCCGACGGCCATTTTTATCCGCATGAGCAGCAACTGCAGCATAAGATATTCCCTTGCATATCTTCAGCTGACATACCAAAAATTTACATGAGACTTTGCACTACAATAATTGATGTTGGACAGCTTGTTCCAAACACAAACCTTATCAAGTAACATCTCTAGAAGAGTGGCATCAGGGATTGCCGCCGATGCGGTTATCTTTGTAGATGCCCAGTGCATGACAACAACCTCCTATACACATGCAAAATCAACATTATAAGCTACCATTTTTTGATAAGGAAATCAAGATAAGCTAACATGTAAGAATTTGATGGAGTCTTGTACTCGTATGAGTTTGTATTCTGGACCCTTTTCTTGACTCGTTGTCAACTGAACCCTTTAAGAATGAAAAGTGATTGTTGTATGTCTTTGTGAAATTATATAAAATGTGCTATGTGAAATTTTGTACAAATATTTTGATCTATTGAGATATTTTAATGGTGATTTCTTGGCATTAATGAAGCAAAGAAATTTACGGTGGTTTATATCTAAATGTTTGTAAAAAGAACACGAATTAATAGTTTCGAATGTTGAAAACGTTAAGAAAAATCGACTTATGATTTTTAAGAACTTGAAGAGTATGGTCACGACTATAGAAAATGACTGTCATGAAGAAGAAAAAAATAAGGAGAATTAAAGTTGATGTTAACGGTGGTTGTGGGATGAGGAGGTGAAGGAAAGGTTAGAGAAATAACTATCTTACGTTATTTTTGTAAATAGAAAATTTATTATGTCCTTTATTCAATAACATTTTTGGTAAATAATTTAAAAATGGTTATACAATAATTATGGCATGACATTATTATATGTCATTTATGTAAGAGAGAGTGAAGTACACACATGGTTGAAGGGGTTTCAAAAGTTCATTTTTATTGAGTTTAAGGGTCTAGTTGACAAAAGTCAAGTAGAAGGGTTCAGAATACAAACTCATTCAAGTAAAAGGGTCCATCAAATCATTTCGCCACACAAAAATACAAGTTCAGGGTAATGCCTCATAAAATCCAATATATTTCAGAGAAGATAGTAGATACACACATAAGAAACAATGTTGTTGAGAATATCATTAACTAATACAAAGTGTGTTCTCTCTGATAGCTTAAGCTTTTAGATGAGATGGCCACGCACTTCAAAATGGTACCAAAGCATGCATAGGAGATCAAATCTCACCACCACCCATACTAAAAGAATCTCCACGTGGCCATGAAAAAGAATCAGGCCCGCACATGAAAGGGCATGCTAAGAATATCATTAACTAGTAAAAAGTGTGCTCTCTCTAATAGCTTAAGCTTTTAGACGAGAGCACACTTTTTATTAGTTAATGATATTCTCAACAAATGTAAAAACAGATTGACATCTTATATGGTCTCCGGAAAACAACCAACATATCATATAAACTGACATGTTATGAATATGAGCAACTAGGGTCTAAACTCCATTACAGATTATAAAAGTAGTAATAAGGTGCAGACACATCTTCTTAATTGGACCACATCTAAAAGAAAGAAGCTTGATAGAGATATGAACTTCTGCAAAAAAGCATACCTGATTCATACTAAGATATTCTGATATTTGTAGTGCAAGAAGGTGGCGATGAGCATTAATAAGACGAGCAATCAGAACAGCAGGTGTAAGCGACTGCAAGGAGGAAATGTCAGAAAAAGATCCATACAAAGAAAGCAGAGAATTTAGTGCACAACGCCACTTAAAACAAGGAAGTATGCAGTACCTTATACTGTTGAATACTGAGAGGAATGCCAATATCTGGGTGACGTACAGCATTTAATACTCGTAAAGTTTTACTCATCTCTTGAATGCGGTCCCGTTGAAAATGGCTGCCAAAGCCAACTGGATATCATTAACAAGAGAAGAAATCAGAATAGAATGATCTCTAGATAAGATCAACTTTCCAACAGCTTCATAAGTTAGGAGAAGGTCTATAGAAAAACAAATAAAGGCCCATTGTTCCATTAGTTTCATCCATTTCAACGTACTGCATATTCAGCATTCAAGTTGCAAATAAAGCAAAGTTCTGGCCACTTCCTCGTGATAAGGAATCCCATGAGAACTGACTTTGGTTTAGTGATTGGTCCTAAAGTACGCAAGCGCATAATTGACACTCCAAAAATACTCCACTTCCCCTCCGTCCCTTGTGGCCTTGACCCTTCATCTCTTGTACTCAAAGCAAGAAAAAGATGGAAATCCCAAAAAAGAAAAAAAAAAGGACAAACGAACAGATCCTTTTCTTATTTGCATCCTCCCCACACTTTGGATCAAATTTTAGTCCTTAAGCTTCATTGATGACTTTGAACTGACGGCGTCAAACACTGACCTTATGATGGCATCGTCGTTCTAGCATGTACCGAAATGAGAAACATGTTGATTGTACAACAATACCACACCTCACATATGGAACACAATCCCCTCAAAGCCATCGCATTCACTGCTCCACAGTATAGATTACTGGTATTTATGGTTCCCCCTTATCTAGAACCAGTGTTGTGAAAGGCGATCGCCTCGTTGCTAATGGCGAGAGGCGAGGCAACGCTTCATCGCCTATTTGCTTTGTGGCGAGGCGATCTTCAAAAGGCAACACCATGGCAACAATGGCGACAAAAGCAAGAAAGGCATCGCCTTCTCTGTTTTATTTTTAAAAAGGCAACCAATTTAGGATTTTAAAGTTCAAATTTAATTTTAAGGTTTTCTTTCCAAATTTGCACAGTTGCACTCTTAGACTGCAACTACGATTCCAACCAGTCAACCAGACTAGACTTTTCTCCGGCGGGTCGCTTTGCTTTGTTTATTTCTTTAGAGGTATTTCTTCTTTTCTTCTTTATATTTCTTCTTCCTCTGTTTATTTTTCCTTCTTATTCAGAGTTACTTCTACCTCTCTTTTTCTCACTGTTTTGACTTTTGCTCTTCTTTTTCTCATTCAAGTTCTAGACTTTTAGTATGTACTATCTATTTTCAGTTTTTTTAATTGAAATATTTTTTAATATGTTATTGCTATTGAGATTTTGATTATTTATATGTGCAACTAAATATTGATTATTTATATGTGTAACTAAATATTTTAATTTTTTGGGTATTAATTGGTGCCACATTTCAAAAAGGCGAGTGCCTCGCCACGTCTTGTCGCCTTTTACTGTCCAAAACGCTGTATAGAACTAGTATTAATAAGGAAATGGTCCTAGGTTTTACTTCTCTCCGAATTCAGTGAATCGTATTGTGTTACCAAAAGAAGGTTGAACAACATATATTCATGATATAGCAAACGCCCAGTTCACACAGTTCTACTATTCGGTGAACAAAGTGGTTCCAATGAACCGGACAGGGAGAGAGAATTATTATTTCAAGGCTGCCAGTGGGCTGGACCCAAGCTCAGTTTGAAGGAAGCCTCTCTTTAACTGCCAAATATTCATTAATCTTCAAGAGATACCATCAACATCTAGCCCAGATGCATATGTTTTTTGAAGGAACAGTCAGTAAATAAATCAAAGTAGTTTATGTAGACACTTTTCATTACTAGTATCTCTCTGCTGTAGCTTACAGGAAAAGCAACATTACCAGGTTAATACAATTTGAGAAGTTCCCATCATCGCTTGTTTATAAAACTACTCCATCACCAATTAGCTTGTTTAACAAACAGAAAGAAAGTAGATCGCCATAGCAAGAAATGCCTTATCCTTTGATACCTCTTATAAGCGAGGAATTATGAGTGCAGTGACGTTAACTGAATGATGCGTCACAGAAAGCACTGCCTCCTCAAAAGGAATTTAGACAGGGAAAAAAAACTAATATCTACATAATCCAGGAGACAGATCTTTTTTCCCTCCTCTGATCATAAGAAACTAGCATTAGATAGCTATTGTCAACATATACAGCATCAGAGTTTGATTAGGAACCCAAGAGGCAAAAGGTAAGATGGAATTTCTCTTTTTCTCAGGAAGCAATAAAATAGAAAAATTTTAGAATATCATCTCTACAAGCCAATAGACCAACCTGCAAAAGGCTTGGCCGTAGCTTGCTGCTCTTAAAAGCGTCCGCTGCTGTGAGACGTCAAATTCATGACCTGCTGCATCAATACATGCTTCAACCGCCTCGGGCAGCGAAGACCGTATTAGTCTCAGATTCTCATCAGCCTGATAAGTGATTAGTAGATTAGAATTCACCTAAAACTGAACTTCAAACAGTTTTTATCTGCTACATATATCCAAGCACGAAGTTGAAACGATGGTGTTCCTAGAAGAAACGACTAAAAGGAAGAACCTCAAGGAGCTGATTAAAAAGAAAAGAGGAAACAAGTTGGATACAGAAGTAGATATAGATTTGTTAGAAGATGTAAATATATGCACATATGGACAAGTCTAACTATGCTCATTCAACTGCAATATTTGAAGATCGAAATAGGCAAGTTGGTCCTTTGTCACTTCATAGAGTAAATACCAAAAGATATAGCCTACCTTGGCACTCCGCCTGTCAAAATGATCTAAGGCATCATAAAGCAAAGCTGCAGGTAGTGTGCTACCAATCTGAAATATGGAGACAGTTGAATCTGGAACTCGATGAAGAAATTCCATACTCATATTGGAGAGTATTCTAACGCCATCACATTCAGGGATAAGGAGAACTGGTTCATCATAAAAGTAGCGTACAGGGTCTCCATAAGGACCCACCATCAGAAGCATATCATCCCAGTAAAGTAGTACACTGTCCATTCCACACCAAGCTAGCTGCTCAGGGGGTAAGGCTGACTAGAAACACAAAAGCAATAACATGGTGAGGAAAGATTCACTGTCTTATAGAAAGATTTCGAATGATGAAACTAAAGAAGGTGTCGTACATATGTGATATTAATCGAGCTAAAAGGCCAGAAAACATTTGTTACATTAACAAGAAACAAAAATGCAACTGCGGCATATTATCTGAAAAACTGTATAAGCAACAATATGGTAGGACTTCATAAAAATCACTCTGGTTAGCACTTACAAAATACAGAGCAAGAAGAATTTACTTAGAATAATGTAAAACAGTAAGTTAGAGTATTGGAATGAAAAAACCACCTCACAAGGATACTCGAAAATGACACTGGAGAAGTCCGTGGACATAACAAGAAGCCTTCCATCATGTGTAAAAGATGCCAAAAGCTTCCCATTCCGGGAAACCACCATTTTCTGTAGAGGCCCAATTCCAAGTCCAACCTCCTGAACGCCATCCTCTTCCACCAACAGCACATGATCAGCAACCCCCATCAGTACCTCCACATTGCCAGACATAGTATACTGCGGTTCAATCACAGCCATACATAAAGGAAAATCCTCCAAACCAGTATCCGCCAATTTGACAGGTTTTGGATTATTGAAATCAGGTATACAATAAACCTGAAACGCCTCATTGATACAAACAACACCATTCCCCCAGAAAACACACTCAACTACACTATGAGTAAAACAGTCCGCACCTAACGTAAGCTGAGAATTCGGTTCAATAGGCTCGGCATGTATGTTATAACGATAAACAGTACCATCCTGAGTAATACAAACTAGAATTTGATCATCAGTCCATGACATACCGATAAGTCGACCGCCAGGATTCTTCCATACTGTTTCAGAGATCTGAACACCAGCGGAATTGAAAATTCTAAGCTTACGAAGGGCAGATTCAGCGTAAAGCTGGACGATCTTAGCATCGTCACGTATGACAGCGATTGGACCACCGAAAGGAGCGCAGGCGACTTTGTTACGCGTGAGGTCGACGTGCTTCCATTGCATCAGGTAAATTTCAGGTTTCCGGTAGTAGCGATTGTAAAGGAGCTGCCATTCTGCGGCCACAGTGACTGCCGCCATCGGAGGATTTGTAGGTTGAGTTTAATTTCCGATCAAAGATATGAATGGATCCGAAATTGAAAAAATGGAGTAAAGTACCATTGGATCAATGCGACTTATGTCGGGTCGGGGGCAGCTCCGTTTTATGGCCCTTTTTTTATTTGGGTCAACTGCCCCAATGTATTTTTTATTATGTCGTTTTTTGAATTTCTTATTATTCCTTTATGTATTTTAAATTCTTTTGGGTGGATGTGTCCTATGAATAGTTGGAGAGAAAGACTAAAATAGGTTATTGAGGTTGTGATAGGATGTTGAGATTTTTAACATTTTTAATTGGATGCGAGTGTTGTAGTGTATAAATTTAGATTTGGTCGAGTTTTAAATGCAAATTTTATTACGTGAGTTATGGTGGAGAGTTGATCAAATTTATTTATCATTAATTAAAAGTTAAAATTGATCAAATAAATGAATCGTGCAATGCGTGAATCTAATTTAGGTTTTATGAGCCCTACAACGGATTTGAAGTTTGTGGGAGCAAAGTTTAAAACGTTCTTTTTTCTGTCACTAGACCAACATCATACACTATTAATAACTTTTAAATCGTAATTCTTATATATATACTGAATTATTCAATACAAATATAAAATTCGAGCAGAATAGGTAATTTTCATAAACTCCCATCATACACTTCTAAAAATCTGCCCCAGTATATCTAAACACCAAATGAAAAATTAAAAAAAAAATGAAAATCTTTGGTGTGTGTGTGATGGGAGGAGGGGGAATTAAGTAGGGAAATTGCATTGACTTGGTGTAATGAAAATCCGCCCCATGTAATTTATTTTATTAATCACATAATAATGAAAATTGTATTAACTTAATATAAATATCAGATGCGGGTAAGATTTATCCTAGGTATAAGAACATGTATTTTGTGCTATTTGAGGAAAAAACATATATATAATTGCAGTTAAGTAATTGTGTTTGGATATGTTTTATATATATTAGAAAATATTTAACTTTGTGAAGAAAAAAATTGTTTTACTTGAAAAATGATTAGGAACTTGAAAAACAATTTTTGCCAAATTCCATCTACAAATCTATATCTAAACGCCTACTAATTAACTAATGCAAAAATTTGATGCTTAATCCTTCATATATTCTTATATTTTTGGTTATTTTGAAATATAAAATAGGTGAACCAATAATTTTTCAATAAAAGTAAACATAACAAATTTCAGTCTAGAACTAAGAATATTACAAGTCTGAACAAGGACTAATGGTGAATGTATCCTAAATTTTTGCAAGGCCAAGCATTAGGAATTGGTTAATAACCATTAAATTACAGTCACAAATTTAACCTAAAACTCAGCAAGAGACTAACTATAATCTCTTACCATTATAAAAGGCTTTGTTTATATCAGAAAATGCCTTTTCTCGCATAAAACTAGAGTTTATTTAGTGTTTAAATATTTATTCGAGTCAATTTATTCTGACGATTTTTTTAGGGGTTGCTTTGGGCAACGCCCAAATCAACCCACCAATAAAATACATATTGCTTGACTCGTTAAAGTTTGAATAAACTGGACGTGTTACATGTTTTTGCATCAATTTTGTCGTCATGTCCTTTGTTATTCAAGGTAATTCACTTTTTAGCTATTTGATACTAAAAATCGTTATTTCAGACTTAATTTTTTTAAGCATTAAATTAATTGCGTAACAAAAATAAAAATGATATGAAAATTTAAGTCCAAATATATGGAACTACATGCGATAAAAACATAAAATTTGAACTCCTCAAGTTTAGTTAGAATTTGCTAGGGTGTTTAAAGCTCATTAGAATTAAGGAAAGATAATATTGAAGATCCCTTTTCTTTATTCTTTTTAAGTTTGCAGTCTATCATATCTAGTTAACATCCCTTATTTTTAGTAATTTTTTGATTTTTTAAATTTAGTTTCATTTATATTGTATAAAATTAAGCAATATTTAATCCTCCTTGCGTATTTAAAGATAATTGATTAGCAAAATCCTTCAACCTTTTTTAAAGCAAATGTTATTTTAACCTATGGTACATACTTTTTTTTTTCTCCATTATGTACTTAATTATTGTTCATAATCAAAGGCCCTATCAACTTTGGGAATCACTTTTTCCCATTAATTAGCCTAAGGTTATCTTGTAATTCATTATAATCAAAGTTGCTTTCTTCCTTCCCAAGGTAATTTGCTTTACCTAATTGTTAATTCAACACATCTAAAGTTACTTTGATTTCTTAATTAGTATCATTTTTCATTTTCATACCGCTCGATTAAATCTATTGCTAATACTACGTCGATCAAAACATCTTTTGTCATGGTCCACTTTTAACTTCATTGATTATATTTTAATACTTTTTAATTAATGGATTTTTGTTTTAGCTTCATAACTACCTTATCTTTTGATTGCTATTTATTTTTGAAGTCATCATCATATCATATCTATACTAAGGTGGACTTTTGTGCTTGGATTACATGTGACATATTAACAACTTTGGGTGAATTAGCATCATTGGCTCCCATGTGCCAATTCCTTCTCTATAGGGACCTCCTAGTGATCACATTCATATTTTATCATTGTTAACACTTTACTATAAACTGTTAGTTACACGGACTCTTTAGCGAGGACTTTCAGTAAGATAAATTAAATATATTAAAAAATGCACGAAGAAGTTAGAGGAATTCATCAAATATAATTTTCTGACAAAGGGGAATCAGATGAATCCTGTTGCGCCCTTGTTGCTATAGACTAGCTAGTTCCACAAAAAGATTTAGCAAATAAAGAATTGTTGTATGTGGTCCAAGGCTTAAAATACATACAAGTGAAATGAAGCACAAAAGTAGGCCAAAAAATGTCATGATGAGATACAAAAATTGATTGCAAGTATATGATAATGGAGGGTCCATTAAAGATAAAAAGCTATTTTGCAATCACATTTGCAAAATCTACTGCATAAAGTTGCATGTCATGGTCCACATGTCTTCTACTGTTTTTTTTTTAAATAAAAATTCTCACACGATGTGTAATCGTCTTTTTCAATAAAAAAAAAAAAGTGTCTAACTAATTGCATGATAAATAACATTACGTATAATAATTCAAATGCATTGTTGAATTAGCAAGTTCATATACTGGCGAACATGACCTTAGATAGGAGGTTATGGAGGATAAAGTAGAGGGGTTGATCATAGGCGAACTCAGAATTTGAAGATTTCGTGTACATCAATATTATCTTAGGTCAAATATGAGTTTTAAAATAAACTTTAAAATTAAAACAATAAAAATAGGGGTCTAGCTGGACTCAATCCCTGGTCTTGCGAGTAGTTTCTTTGGCTTGTATCATTAGCACAATAACACTCTTACGCTTCTTGTGGGTGCACTATTAACTACATCCTAATTTTTGTATGGTGAGGTCAGCCTCTGGTTAAGAGTTGTATCACGTAATATTCCATCATACTAGTCATAATATTACTCTGTTTTTCTTGTTATTCTACTTTTTTTGTTATTTGATAAATCGTGCACTTCAATTATCATAGTATTTTATTTTAGCGGTTGTTTCTATATTAGTATGCTTTGTCATGCGTTTTTTATATATTTTATCTTGACTTCTTCACTCGCGTTATTTTCATTTTTTCGAATTGCATTGTAAGTTTTTACTTGAGTTGAGAGTCTATTGATATCAGTCTCTACCTATCAAGGTAGGGGTAAAGTCTGTCTGCGTACACATGCACTAATCTCTTCATAACCCACTTCTGAAATTATGCTGCGTATCTTATTGTTGTATTTGCCAACTTAACATAATATGTTAACTGTCTGATAGTTTAATGAGTTGAAATTCTGTTCCTATGAAAAAGCAACCACCCACAACATAGACAAGAAATACTTATCAATACTAGTGACCATGCTTCTTCACAGTAGTGGGTAAGTAAAGACTAAACTTATACATATATTGTCAAATATACTTGATATTCTTTTTGAAAAAAATTTCCCACTCTGACTTTGTTGTGCTCTGTCATACCACATTCTCACCATTAAAAAGAAAAAAAAGCCTGTCATAAGGTCCCTACTAGGTTGAAACCACAGCTTATTTCCCACTATAAAAATATATATACAATACTATAGTCTATATATGCCAAACATTGTTAATTTGTCTAAAGTTAGCATTTCACTTTGGCTTTTTTGCAGAATCGATGATGATTAAGGCTTCTTAGAAAGGAAATATTTATTTTTCGTTGTTCAATTGGTCATTGCAGTTAAACAGAAAAACATAATGTACCTGAAGAGCTTAACAAGTTAAGTTCAAGAAGTTTTTTGCTGGTGTTGTCTCTCTTTTCCAGCTCTGTTCCTTCAAAACAGAGTTTTTAAGCATTAGCCATATAGGATTGAGTAGTAGCAACATGATACAGAAGGTGATTCTTCATGTCGCGATTTTCATTGTTGTTCTTCTGCCAGTAGCTACAGCAACTCAGTTGCACACGAAAAAGACTATTCACGAATGCAGTGACCACAAAGTCCTTGAGGTTATTCACATTTGCATCTCATACTAGTACATAAACGTAAACGAGTGCTTGTGATCTAGTCATATATATGTTTTAAGGCAGCAACTGATTTTTTTCTAATATCAATTTTCAGCCAAGTCCAAAGTTGTCATTTCAAATTGTTCTACATGGAATTCTCCTCTGGACTTCCATGGGGTTCTTGATGCCTATCGCGATTCTTGTAATAAGAATGTCGAATAAAGAGCAAAATGGAAGAAGGCTAAAGATGATTGTGTACACTCATGCTTTTTTACAGGTAAATAAACTCACTTTTTCATTGTGAATGAGGGAAGGGAAAAGATAACAATCACTCAGTATTCAGTGTTTGCGCCAAACCAATGAATAAAAGATTTCTATTATTTTTCATATCTTTAAAGTCAATGAATGGTATAGTTCATTTCATTGACATGAAAATCAGTATCTCAACAGTTACTAAACTTTTATTATTACAAATTTGAACTTTGTTTATTAGATTAAAATACCCCACCTTTCACCTCTAATGATATTGAAAGAGAGTAAGAGTTATCATGATTACAAATTTGCTAAATCATTAAACTAGCTAGCCCACAATTAATTATTAGGTAATTTTAAGTTAAAGTTCATTTATCCCTCACTGATGAATGCTTAGTGATAAAGGAAATGTAGGAGTTGTAAAGTCTGTTATTTGAGTACTACAACTAACTCTATCTTTATTAAGAAATGAGTTCAATTAAAGTTAATTATGAATGTTAGGTATAACCGTTTAATTTTTATCATGACATACTTTTGATACATTACATTTACATCATTATGTAGTGCATAACACGACGATAATACCATAAAAGATATACTCGCTGACAAAAGAGAGCGAGACTGAAAATTTGTATTTGGTTATTTTTCAGATACTATCTGTTCTCCTCGTAGCAGTAGCAACAATTATGTCAGTAATAAACTTTGAGAATTTTTTCGACAATACTCACCAGAGACTTGGCTTAGCTCTATATGTTGCCATATGGCTGCCATTCATCGCTGGGATTTTTCGACCTGACAGGTAAAAGATACATAAATATCACAATGGAAGAAGTTAATGTTGTTCACTCAATTGAATAGAAGCTTTTGTTGTTTCTATATATACAGGGGAAGCAAAAATAGGGGTGTATGGTATGCATTTCACTGGCTTATTGGAGTCACAGTTACTTTACTGGGAATCGTCAACCTATATATAGGTTTACAAGCATATAACACGAAAACAATGAAAAACACAAGTGTTTGGAACTGGCTTTTCAGTATTGAGGTTGGTGTTATCGCGTTCATCTATCTGTTCCAAGAAAAATGGCAATATATAAAGCAATCAGGAGGGATTTTAAGCAATGAATCAGTACGACCAACGGATCAAGAAGCATCTCCAACTCAGAAAAAAGAAATATCACCCATGGCATAATCAGAGTCATGTTAAGACTTCAGACAAACAAATAATTTTGCCTTTAACTAACATAAATTTTCTTCTTTTTTTTACAGCTAACATTAGATTCTTTCCAATTTTATTACAATTTCACAAAACAGATATTTAAGAGTTTTGTGTAGTACTATCAGTGTAGAGCATCATACGAAGTCTATTAAACGAAAGATATTGTGTCCACCTCTCCTCATTCACAATCACGACAGGTTCAATCAATGAGTAAACCATATCCAACACCATCGCGACATAGGCAGCTTGTCATTCTATCTTTTCCCTGTTCACCGAGAATGGAAATGGAAAACTCAAGCAAGAGAAACGTGATCTCAGTGGATCAACTTTTTCCTAAGAATACCAACTAATCTAAAACTCAAAATGATCATTGATCTCGATAGTTACAAGGACATCTGACAAACTTGTAAAGTTTCACTATATTAGAAATAGAAACAGTGTATATTTATACAAGTCAAGGAAATAACTGCACGTAACCTGTCGCTAGTGCAATTCCTAAAATGACAAGGGGTGGAAGGATGACAAATGCTCCAATTGTAGCAAAGAAAGTTGAGTCATTCCTCCGAGATACTTCATTCAGGTAGGCTTGTCTTTTGATGTTTCTCTTTTGTGAGGTAGTTAAGAACTTGGCGCTAAACTTCTTCAGATTCTTACCCAAAGGAATGCTGAAATCATCATCTCGACTTCCAACCAAGTTAGCAAGCTGATCACGAATTGTAGGTTTACCAGAGGTACTATCACTTTCATAACCTGATCAATGATCAAGTGAATGACAGTCAGAAAGAACTATAGGTTAGTTCAGCTCTCACTAATGAAAGCCGAAAGAAACAAAGTTGGCAAGTTTATTTGAAATCTTGCTGTAAATCTTTTTAACAAAGCGAACAGTAGGGATAATGAATGGATATGGAATATGATGCCATGCTAAAGCAACATGTTTACAGATTCTACATGAAGCTGCTTCACACAAGATAACCTGCAGTAAAGAACACTGCGGAAAGTGCAACAGATGCTCTATGTATACGGAGGAACTTGAATCCCCAAATCACTTGCTGCTACATAGTAAATATATTTGGGAAGTATAGAGCATGTTCGTTAACACATTGGGAGTACAATCGTTAACGCAAAGGTTAGGTCTAGAGAGTATAAAGCCACCTCAGAATGGCCTGGAGCGCAATTCCTACTAACTATATATTTTGTGCAGTTTCAAGGGAAAGGAACCCCAAATGCTTTCGAGATCATAGTCTAGATGTTTTTACTCAAAATCTAGATGTACACAAATGTTAAGATTCAGTATAAGTTGACTTCCATAGATGATGAAAACTCTTTTTGTGGACTTCATAGATTTCCTATAATGCTAGGAAGGAGCTCAAAGGGGAGAAGAGAACACATACCATTTGCTATATATATATATATATATACACTTTGTTAGAGCAGTTTAATGATAGTCTCGTATTACTTATCAGGAAAACAGAAGAGAATCAAAAGGGGAGAAGAGAACATATACCATTTACTTCTGAACTGCTGGAAGTGAGCTGTTCCAAGAGATCTAGCTGTGTTCGAGCAGAAGATAATGACCCTAAACCAAAGTAAAACTTCAATAATCAAGCAAAACAATGTAGCCCATATCATCATACATCAAACGGGACTAAGATATGGACATCATTCGATTAGCTTATCTATTCATATTAAGGAGATGGCACAAGTACTCCTAGACTATGACCGAAATCCCATATACACACCTTAACTAAAGTAACTCATTTTATAGATAATATTGTACACTTTTTGACTTACATGGCACGCCCCGTGGTTCCACGCAGTTAAGGCGCGTGGGAGATATTTGGATGCCACGTAAACAAAAAAGTGTACAAAATTACAAAAAGAATGAGTTCAGGGATAATAGGACAGGACCTTAGTTTGGTTAATGTGCGTCTCTGAAATTTGGGTCATAGTCTGGGGAGATACTTCTACTTTTTTTCCCCTTCATATTATATCAGGCAGAGGTGCACTACTGTTGATTCCACAATCAGAGAGGCTAACTCATACATCCATCCATCCATCTTCTAAATTTTGACAGAACTTAGTACCATTTACTAAATATTACTCTCCTGTCCCAAAACAACTGTTGTTTTTACCCACTCGAGAGATTTTCAAAGCTAAATTGGATTAGATCACCTCAATATAATTTAAAAATTTAAAAATTTGAAAAACTGCGAAAACAAACCTATCCTCACAAAATTCACTTACACTGTAATTTCATAAATTAAAAATGATGAAAATGAAGTTAATCATACCAGAATAAGTGGGAAGTTCTTCCTCCTTAGTGACTCTTCCATCCCCTTGTTCAGAAAGAGCAGCTCTTCTTAAGGAAGAATAATAAAGTTTGTGTGTACAAGGAATGAGAAAGCTTTTTGGTTGCACAAAGACAGAGCTCAAATTCAAAGCCATGTGTAGTGTAAGGCCATTAGGTATGTATGTATGAGGCTACAAATTATGCAACTTCTATTACTCCTATAAAAATTATTTACACCTCAGTTTAAACAGGTGGCTGAAAATTCCTCCACCACAAAATTTTAATTTTCTTATATGTCCTTGTCCTACTAATATAATTTTCAGATTTATTTCCTTTTATTTAATTCCCACCACCCCATTATTAATCAATTGAAAAATAGAAAGAGATAACTCTAATTATCGACAAGTGAAATTTGTTTTAGTAATTGGGCATCTCTGCAATTAATTGATAAATTAAGCATTTGAAACACGCTGTAAAATAAATGAAAACATTATTGATCATTATAGAAAAAAATAATTAAGTGATTTTTTATTCCCTCGATTTCTTTCTTCTAATCTAAATCATCTATTATAAGATTAAAATAAATTGAGGTAAGAAGCATAATAATTCATCATGCTTAGAAAGTGATAAAATTTTAATATTTTAATGTAGAAATACACAAAATACACCTATCAATTTGGGGTACGTAACATCAAAGGATTATAAAATGGGACGACATATACATAAATTACAAATATGAAAATTGTCTCAAGAAATTAATTGCCACATTAATTATTTGGGGAATTGAATTCAACCTTAACTAAGAATAATAGTACATAAACAAATGATTCATATATAATGATACAAATTAGTTGGAAATAAGATTTTGTTATTTTAAATGTTTTGACCATAAGTTTTCATACTAGAAACTTTATTAGTCTACGATATATTTTATGATATATATTCAATTCAGAATTTAATGCGAAATATAGATTTATGTATAATAATTTTGGTAAAATAATGTTTTGTGCATGTCTCATGGTCCAAAAGCTACCTCGATAGAACAAAAATGGTTCAAGTATCTCATTAACCATATCATCATCCAAAAAATTCATTTTATTAACTATTGATGTGGAGATTTTTTTTTTTCATTTTTCAACATTCCACCTCATTCCCAAAAACAGACGTCTAATATTTAGACAAATTTAATTTAGAATACAATATTTAACGAGATAAAATTTACTATAAAATTATATAATAGAAAGATATTTTAGTTGACTCGCCTGCCGACTATATGAAAGACCCAAAAATGTCAAAAATAACCTTCATAACAAGTAAAGTTTTGTTGCGTGCATCTGCATAAAGTTAAAGGGGCTTTTTTGCCATTTTACTCAGTTACGCGTTGTTGAGAAATGTAACGAAATCCAGAGAGGAAAAAATATGACCGTTAAAAACAGCATTTTCAAAAAGTTATACATTTATTCGATCGTACATTATTATAAATCTAACAAATTGATTTCACCATTAATTTCTTTGAATCCGATACCCAGAAAAAGGCAAAAGCACTCACCAGTCACCACCACACTCGTATCTCCATCTTTTTCCTCTGCTGGATCACACATATAGATGTTCAGGTGAAAAATTTTCGAAGACATATAAGTTTCTCATCAAATGGACAAAATTAGTGCAGAGGAGATGAAAAATGAAGGAGAAACAACAGCGAAGGAGAGCGGCATTGAGTCACATCCTTATGCATTTCATGTTTCTGGACCTCGAAATGTTTCTTCCCCAAATTGGAAAGATCTTATTAATTCCAGCTGGTTAGTAGTGTCTTCAACTCATAATCTTTTTTTTTGTCGCCTCTGTGTACAAAAATAAGTTGCCTATTCTAGAATCCTCTAACATATAACTTCAAAATTCTGGATCCGCCTTGCTAATGTGGGTTATAAATTCGAAACTGTGGAAAGCTTTGTTTGATTTATCGTTTTGTTTTCTAGCTTTGATTTGGTTATATTGTTAATTCGAATAGATTGTGGTTTGAATTATTGTTCCTTTGCTTTTTTTGTTGGATATGTGAGGCATGATTTATCTGATTGGAATGTCTTTATTGAGTTGATTTTGGTGTTTGTATAAAGGAATTTTCATAGAGTATATGAGGTGAAATTATGGCGAAAAAATTCGTTAGTGTAGTGTGTACTAGAGCTAATATTACTCTTGTTAAACTGAATCTCTACACAAGTCCACTTGCTGCTAGTAAGATTTAGATCGTTAATTATGTGGAAAGAATATTTAGATGATTTAATTTGCGAGCTAACAGCAATGAGTAATATTGATTTGAACAGGAGGAAAGATGCTAACTATAAAAGAACAGTAATGGCCTGTTTTATCCAAGCTGTTTACCTTCTTGAGCTTGACAGACAAGACAACAGGACAGAACAAAATGCACTTGCTCCGAAATGGTGGATACCTTTCAGGTACAAGTTAGTCGAAACTCTAAAAGATGAACGAGATGGATCTATATTTGGTGCAATATTGGAGTGGGACCGATCTGCAGCTTTGGCTGATTTTGTACTGATGAGACCGAGTGGTGCACCTAGAGGTGTTTTAGCCTTAAGGGGAACAATTCTGAAAAGCCAAACGATGAGAAGAGATATTGAGGATGATCTCCGCTTCCTAGCTTGGGAGAGTTTGAAAGGATCTGTGAGATTTAGTGGAGTTTTAAAGGCACTAAAAGCAATCGCGGACAAGTATGGGAGTAATAATGTTTGTATTGCTGGTCACTCCCTTGGAGCTGGCTTTGCTCTTCAAGTTGGGAAAGCGTTAGCCAAAGAAGGCATATACGTAGAGGCACATTTGTTCAATCCACCCTCAGTTTCACTTGCTATGAGTTTCAGAAACATCGGAGAAAAAGCTGGCTTTGCTTGGAAAAGAATCAAGGCAATGCTTCCTTCAAAGGCGGATTCTCAGATCAGCTGTGAGGAAGGCGGTGCAACATCTTTTCCAGTAGGCCTAAAGCAATGGGTACCTCACTTGTATATTAACAACAGTGATTACATATGCTGCTCTTATACTTATGCAGACGGAGCACAAAACGACCAAACTGCAGCTAACAAGGAGAATGCAAAACAAACAACAAACTGCAGGCAAGCTGCAGCAAAACTTTTCTTGTCATCGAAGGGCAATCAGAAGTTTCTTGAGGCGCATGGATTGGAGCAATGGTGGTCCGATAACTTGGAACTACAAATGGCTATTAGTAACAGTAAGCTCATTAGCCAGCAGTTGAAATCCTTGTATACTATGCCAGCTGCTCAACTAACACCAGTCAAGCGATAACAGATTATAAAAAAAGTGGCTTTCGCAGCCCCTTTGCTTAACAATAACTCATTTTAAATGCAAATAGTTGTTCCTATGTCACCATTTTTTGGTGTACATTTATGTTCATACAATTTTCTTTCCCCTATTGTATTGAAAACAACGTGTAGCTATGGGGATGCTCTCAAGGTGAAGACAAATAATCTCAAATGTGAAACACATATTTTCTTTATTTGTATATTTGTACTGATGAATTGTCAAACATAACATACCCCTTCTCTTTTATGTGAGATTATTGAAAGGGAGAAGTGCTTTAAGGGTGTTGTGTGATGGAAAAATGCATATTAGAGTAAAACATTAAGTTCTACTAGTTGTAATGTTAAAGTTCAACATATCCATAAGCGGAGTATTACTGAGATGAGGATGCTGAGATGGATGTGCGGTACACACTGAATACACAAAGCAATCTTTGAGGAACTATGGTGAGTTGTGAATATGTTAACACAAAACAAGGTAGATCTAAAATTAAATAGAAAGAAGTTGTCTCAAAAGTGTTACAACTATATTAAAAACAATACTTTAACTAAAGTTTAGAACAAAATGGAAGAAAAAAAGAACTATAAAATAAAAAAAACGACTCTGCTGGGGATCGAACCCAGAATCTCTGGTTTCGTAGACCAGCGCCTTATCCATTGGGCCACAAAGTCTTTGATGTCAATGAGCTAACACTAATTTTAACATTTGAGACTTAAGTGTTTTTTTTTTTTAGAAAAAAAGAAAAGGCTCAGCAACTATTAGTCGAAACAGAGAAATGTATGTTACATTATATTCATAATATGCGAAAGTATAAATTTGATATTATAGAGTTATTCGATTTTAAAACTACATAAAAAGTGTAGAACAAGCCAGATGACGGAATAGGAAAATCAAAAATGTGTAAAAAGATCATTACATAAGTCATCAATTCGCTAGAATCGCCTTTTGTAATAGTCGAAACGGGTAAGTTCATGGATCAATAAATAATAAATTGACATAATACGGTAACATCGAAGACTTTGTGGCCCAATGGATAAGGCGCTGGTCTACGAAAGCATAGATTCTGGGTTCGATCCCCAGCAGAGTCGTTTTTCTTTTTGGACAACAACAACATCATATGACAATAATATAAAAAAATTTAGATGTTCATAAACTATATCAAAAGTACTATAAATTGCAGTGACTCTAAAAATAAAACAATAGTAGACAGAGGGAGTACCATACTATTTTTTTAAAGAACTTGCTATGGAAACTATACAGATAATATCGAGATCTATTAACATAAACAACGTAACATTATACACAATCATTTACAATAACTAGATATAAACAACAATCTAGATCAGTGACGGAGCTAGGTATTCAAAGTATTTAAAAAAGTTACACATAAAAAAAAAAACTCAAGAAATTCGACATGATGTATATATATACATACCAGAGATTATTAATATTAACGTTGGATAATACCATATATACCCTTAGCTCCGCCACTGTTCTACATGATCATGCACACAACACAAGACTTTATTGTAGCTAAGTCTCAAAAAGAGTTGATAAATCATAATCATCGATAGAAACTTGTTCATATTGATCATGATCATAATTATAACTAGTATATGAATCCATCTCCAATAACCATGACTCAATATTCCTATAATAATATGGATCCATTAATATCTCTTGGCTTCCCATCGAATAATTATTATCCAACAAACTGAAACATGGTTCGTGTATCGTCGTGTTAATAATATTAATAGACGATGGTATACTTCCTTCAGATGAATCTACCGATAATTCTTGGCTATATTCTTGAACGATTTTCAATCTTTGATCATCATCAGGTGGTGATGGTGGTGGTGGTGATGAGGACGATCCAATATTATTATTGCCAGTAAGTTGTTGAACAAGATTCTTGAAATTTGAAGAAGGTGTAATATAAACTTTAGGTTTCAACAATTTAATCAACTTGTTGAATTGTTTCTTCTGTGATTTTGAGGCTTTTTTTCCCATTTTCTTGCTTAGAACTATACAAGAAAGTCTTTAGGTTTCAACGTAATTTTTTTTTCTTAGCTCCTAACGATGGGATATCCTAAAGAGAGCTAGCTGGAGGTATATATATATATATTATTATTATTATTAATATATATATGTGAAAAAATTTGAGGTGTTTAAAGTCTAGACTTGTATTTACACACAAGATACTTGGAAGAAATTACCAAAAGATGTTGAGAATTAATGATGTTATTTTAAGCCCTAAGGTGTGAAAATTGTAGTCCAATATTACTCTATCCTTTTGTATTTTTATATTTTATTATTGTCCAAGTACCTCTTGTCATCGAAGGAAAAAGTTGAGGGTTTGAATCGTGCTAGAGGATAAATGAAAAATTACTGGAAAAAAAATCATGCATATTGCTATTAGGTATTTATATCTATCAACAATATTAAAACTAGTTTAGATAGACGAAAAGAAATTATCAATTCTTTTCTTTGTTGGATTACGTAATTGAGCTTGAATAGATAGATAAGATATAATGGTAATTAGTGAGAATTTATATCGTATATTTCAATTTGTTTGGAATTGAAATATTGTTATATTTGTTGTAGTTTGTATCTAACTCACTAATAATATAATCACAGGTGGAACTATAACCAATAAAGAATAATTAGTTGAATATTTTTCTCTCAAAAAATAAATTTTGTTATAGTTTATGTGGTGTATTTTTTAAATTAATTATAGTATCAAAGTGCATCATGGAAATTTTTATGTCTTATCATGTGTCACCTCATCAGACTGTAAATTCATATTATTATATATAAACAATATGCCAAGAATTGTAATTACATGGATTGGTATTTTTGTGTATTTATTAGGCAGTTAATTAATTAAATGTAAACGTTAGTCAATTTCTATAGGATTGATACAGGAAATACTATTTGACAAAAATAGATGAATCTAATAAAATAAAAAATGTATGTATCACACAGAAGAACAGTAAAGGCACGCAACAAACTACTATTCAGCTACTCTGTCTTATTATGCTTAATCCTTTTTTCGAATTCTTATTCGACGTTTCATTTCACTATTAAATTAAAGTCTGATTAAATTTAAATTTATGTTAAAAATTTTTATTTAAGAATAAATTATAAAGTGTTTTCTAATAAAAACAACTTCATATTTAGTAGGATATGAATAAATAATTAAATAGTATAATTTTTCTTCGATCCAAGCTTCCTCGGTCTTACCTAATTTCAACCTAATACGTACTTGAAGCCTCATAAATGAAATGCAGTTTTTCACCTACAAAGCTCAAACTTGTATCTTTTTATTGATATAGTAAATTTCAACTTTATTTTCTCTTGTGTTTTTTTTTTTTTTCATTCAAGCTGTTATTTTATCATTAGAGTAACTTCTTTCAAATTATGTATGATTCATATTTTGCAAGTGTAAAATTACTTTGCACAATAATTAGATGCTTTATATAATTATAATGCTCCTTGAGAAATATGAATTAGATATGTACAAGTTAGATAAAGAACTAATTTTTGCTATTATGTCAACAGATGGAGTAATTATTTGCATGTTTTTCTACTCTAATTGGGACAAATATGTATATACTAATTTAGGATGAAAAGGGACATTAGCATGAAATTATAAACATTAATATGACATCCTATTATTAAAATCACATCAGAATCAAGAATTTTGGCTGGTGGCTGTCTTTCATAAATGATTGTGATGCCAAAAAATATGCATACAAAAGAAAAATTAAAAAGAGAGAGCCAAAAATACCAAATACCAATAGAACAATATTATTCATTATAATTAAGGATGATAAACTCTGCTCTAGTATAATAATAGCTAACCATTCATTTCACAAAAACAAAAATACGAAGCCTGATGATATGTTTCAAGAACCACGAGTATTAATGAATTAAATATTAATCATCTGAATGAAGTACAAGTATGTAATAAATCTAAAACTTGCTACAAAATGTTTTTACACATCTATGATTTTGAACTCTATTCAATAAGAAGATTTCTTTGTGCATTCATCAGTAGTAATGCCTAGATTTAACTGTGGTTAACAATAGCAACAAAAACTTCAAGAGTGTGATGATTCGTCTTTCTTCCCAGCAAGAATCATTGAAATCTGGAGACCTCTACTGAACGCCTGGTTGAAGAGCAACCGCGTCTGGAACTCTGATACGAATGGGAACCAAGACAAGACCACAACTGGCGCGAATATGAACAGACCCATGATGCATTCGTATGCCCGTGCCAACTCCATCACTGAATCCCAAATTCCAAGTCCCTTAAAACAGGGCCTGCATGCTTGACCAATCTTTGAACATAAAGGAAGAAATTAATCACAAAGGTGTAAAAGATCAGATGAAGCTATATTTTAACATGCAAGTACATTAGTTGTATGACTTAACAGTGGGAAACATTCATTTCATTCTAGTAGCTTATTGGAGAAACAGCAGCAGAAGTTGCTATGGCAATATTACCAAGAATAAGATCAACAACATTCCTGGTGTGATCCCAAAAGTGTGGGGTCTTGGGAGGATAGAGTCTACACAGACATAAACACTACTTCCAAGGTAGAGAGGTTGTTTCCGATAGACCCTTGGATCAAGGAAAAGCATTTCAAAGCAGTTGGGAAAAAGAAATAGGAAAAGAAGAAGCCATGACAAGAAAATAAAGACAGCATGGCGAAGTATGCTGAAAAAAGAAATAGTAACAACAAAAAAATAATAAGGTAATCGACGTACGAAAAAAACAACATATAGTAAGAAAAATTAAAGGACAATGGTCTATGATAATACGTAGAAACAAAAATTACCAAGAATTAGATCACTAATTGAAGAGAAGAGTTTAACTTTCTAAGTAAATCAAATTGAAAGAATGTAAAAGAGGGGGGGGGGGGGGGGGGGAGTCAAATAACAAACCAAATAGCAAGAAACAGAACAAAAATAGATGATCCTTAGATATACAAGAAAATGAACTTACAAGAAGAATGCCCCAGCCTGTCGGTACGAAGGCAAGAATGGCAGCAAATAGATCACTCATGGTCAGGCCACAAACAACAAATAACACAGTCATGACAGATACGAATCCAAGGAATAGAAGTGCTTTCAGAATTCTGAACATGAGCTGAAAATCAGTCCCAAATCTTCGTCTGCCCATTGATACCATCTATAGCGAGCAAAATAACAAGAAGCATGATTAGATAAACATATCAAGTCCAAA